TCTTCCAGCTGCTGTAGAAAGGTATGTTCAAGAAGATATGAATTAGCCAAACTCTTGGCTAGCTGCTTGCTAGTAGGGAGTCTAAGCTGCTGCTTTAATAAATACCATCCATCTGCTATGAAGCTCACCTAATGGGTATGTTGTAAGCCGAAGGAACACTTACAAGATGTTGAAGTTCCTATGCTTGCTTGAAAAGGGGAAGGCAGGAAAGAGAAAGTTACATGGGCAAATACCTTGTTCAGAAGAAAACTTAAATCTTTTTGCAGGCACCCCAACATTCTCAGATTATATGGCTACTTCCATGATGTTACAAGAGTCTACCTTATTCTAGAGTATGCACCTCGTGGAGAAGTCTACAAAGAACTTCAGAAGCTTACCAAGTTTGATGAGCAAAGAACTGCTACTGTAGGTTGTTCTAGCTTCTTATACATTACTTGGTCTTCATATCTGGAATATCTGCAGCATAAAGCTAGCTCTTCAGAGAAAAGTTCTGTATTCTGTTATGTGAAACTGAGATTCCTTAGATGCTAGTTTGCTTGTGCGCTTGTAAGAAGGAATAAGTTGGGAAGACAAATAACTGCACAGCACTAATTAAGCAATGCTGAACATTGTTATATATTGCAAGTGCTTGGTCACTTCAGGCAGAGCCTGTATTGCCAGACTTCAAGGGTTTAAGGAATAATTGCTCTAACTTAAACTATTGATTATGCCTAGAAAAGGCTACACTGTAGCCAGATTAGCTAAAGTGACAATGTCTTTATACTTTAAAGATTTATTCTTTTTCTAAATACAGTACATCACAGAACTAGCAGATGCGCTGTCATACTGTCATTCAAAGAATGTGATTCACCGAGACATCAAGCCAGAAAACTTGCTGCTTGGCTCAAATGGAGAATTAAAAATTGCTGACTTTGGATGGTCTGTGCATGCTCCATCTTCTAGGTGAGAATGCAATATATATTTATGCAGTGAAATACTTCTGTAGTGAAAATGTTAGCTTTCTTGTCACACTTAGTGTTGTGGAATGGAGGTAAATGTCAACTTCCTAAAATACTGGGAAAAATCCTTTAAGAACTGGGCCACTGCAGCAAAGGTCTTACTAGTCAACTGGTGTAGCAGAGAGGGAATGTTGTTATCCTGTTTTTTCAACTTGCATAGTTCAAAACTTGCTGAACCTGAAACAAGTGAAGAAGGCTGGTGTACTGTTGTAGGGTTATAGTGGTCCCTGAGATGACAGACCAGTGCTTGTGTTCAAACATCACGCTAGCAACATACTTAAGACATTTCCTTAATTAGTTTGCATTGCACCTGATGAAGTCAGACTACATTTGATCTAGCAAATGGGATGAAAAAAGGAAGGATAAGACTGAATGCAGTGACTGAGATGCTTTAAAGCAAAAGTAGAAAACTTACTGCTGGAACTTCTTTACCAGGTGTTCTGGTGGTGCCGAGTCTATCCAGGGTAGACTGCACTGAGGTACAGATGATTGCCAGCATTAGCTTCTATCTGGCTCTTGAAGTGGGTCTTATAATTGCCATAATCAGTAAGTAATCAACTTAGACTTTTCTTCAGGAGAACAACTCTCTGTGGAACACTTGACTACCTGCCTCCTGAAATGATTGAGGGAAGAACACACGATGAAAAGGTGGATATT